GGCGGGCTCTACATATTCAGCATATTCTAATGACATTCAGAAGGCAGATTTTGCTGTCTTGTGGTAGTGAGGGGCCTTGAAACGAACACAAAGGGCTATACTCTCCTACGTCACACTGCTGGCACGCTGCCGCATAACCACAAACAGTTTGATTCTCACTTAAAAATAGTCTCTGAGATGCATCTGTATAATATGTTCAGTCACAGTCCTCCTCAGTGTTTTGGTGTAGAGCATACATAACTGGCCCCGCTGTGTAAAGTCGCCCTCTGGATAATTAGATCCCGGACTGCATTAGTTCAGAAAACACTGCTCCAGTGTCACTTTGTTTTACATTTTTGTGGTGTGTGCAAGTGTATAGTAGTTTGACATTTTCATCTGCATTGTGCACAACACTTTCCTTTTCTTCAGTCATCACTTTTTTGCATGTGTATTACCTGGCTTATGCAGAGGCATCAAGCGGGCTTGCTCTGCTTTTCTGGAATAGAAATTGAATTTGCATGAAATATGCTCACACCAAATTGCATCTGACTCTGGGAGGAGGTAATACGTGACAGTCGCCCCTGCCAGAAATGATTGTGCTCAGGAAAACGCTAGACGACGATGATGTTGATGAAGTATTCTTCTGTGCTGAAATTGAATGCCAAAAGGATAGGAGGAGGTTAGCTTTTTTACACCTTATACACACACTTCCTTTTTCTCACAAAGAATATCCAGTGTTTGTCACTGTGCAACATATTCTGAGACTCAGTTTAAACTGAAGAAATAGCAACACACAAAATACTTCTATGCTGAAATTGGATTATGACACAATGCTGTGTAATTTAAATGTGAATGTTTTACTGTATAGACATAAGCATCAATCTGAAGCAATAGTCAGTCTGTCATACACAGAAACAGCACAGCTGCCTTTTAAAATTAGATGCAGTGTGCGCTCAGTGAAAGCTAATTCTGACGCTAATTCTTACACAAATAGAAGACAGTCGTTCTGTATTTAATTCTTCTATAAGTCAGGTGGATAAGAAGCGACACCTTCAAAAGCTGTTTAAATCTAGTTTTTACACCCTGTCGATTCTTACATCAAGAGCTCAGAGAGGTAATTTGAGAACAATGTTCCCAGTCTACACAAATAAACATATACGAAACTAACAGGAGGGCAATGAGTTGTGCTAAATGTGCAATAAACAACTGTCTTACCAGCTGCACACTAACACCACACTTTATGGAAGAAAATATAAAAGTAATATTATAATGTTTCTTATTAATCAAGTCAGAAATTCATATTTTTAGACTCTAGAGTTCGAGGCAAATTTCAGCTCCTTTTAATCCTGTGATATAGGAATGATTAGTCAGTAACAGTGGCTTGAAACAACAAAATGCTGTTAAATGCTAACAACTGTCAACAAGAAGCACAGATTTGGTGGAAAACACAGAGGCTGAAATTCTACAAAGAGCATCAATTCTCCTCATACAGGATAGTATGTTGTGTAACAGTACAGAATGGATTTGTGTTAATTAAACTTGAAATCAGTCAAAAGTTGAGAACATTTCTCCACTTGTTGCTTTCTATCACCGGCCAGTGTATTGCCATACGCAACTATTTGTTATGGATTGCATTTGAAAACATTTGAACATGTTCTACTTGGTTTGGATCTATCTCAGGCCGTCTGTTTGGAGCAGCAGGAGAGCAGCCCTTCATTGGCTCCACATTGTCAAGTGCCTTCCCTCTGGTCAACCACCCAGCCTTCGGAGCCCTCTACACTGCTGGAGCAGGCAGGCCTGAGTTTGGAGGCCTGGGCTCCCTGGGCATGTCAGCTGCTCTGGCTACCCACCCACAGCTAGGAGCCCTTTCTGGTAAGACGGGGACTTTTGAATTTTTTAGGCAGCAATTGGCTAAGTGAGATCACATCTTCACTCCTCTCCTCTCCTCTCCTCTCCTCTCCTCTCCTCTCCTCTCCTCTCAACAGAATGGTGGCGAGCTGCTGAAGCCCATGGACGGGGAGCTGCTGCCTTTCTCCCCTCTTTCATCGGCTTCCCTCCGTTCTTCACCCCTCACATCCAGCCCAACCACAGCGCCAGTCCTGTTCAGATCAGGATGCCAGGCAAGAATAGCCACACCCCAGCTAAAGGTATAACACCATTCAGAACTGATCCTCAGTTACATTACGTACATGGAAAATTGCTTTTTGTAATAGACATTAATGCAGGAGAGTAGCAGACGACTACTGCGCCTTTCCGTTTGTTTCAAATGAAATATTAACATATCCATACAGTTCTCAAAACCGCCCTCTCATGTGTCTTATGTGTGTTGAAGCATGTGTAATTAATTACTTTTCCAAGAGGGAATGACACTTTGCACTGAAAATAAACAACCTAACCTCTATCTCTCCTCTCCCACCATCTCTTTCTGCGTGTCTACTTCCTCCACCACCTAAATCCACTTTGTCCTGTGATGAGATTTCTCTTTTTCAAGACCGATTTAATGACTTTCGGTCCTCACTTAGTGATTCTGTCAACCTCTCTCTTCCCCTCTTTCCTCCACGTTCCCTCTCGTAATCTCTGTTTCTTGCACTCTTTAATTTCACAGTATCTTTTAATTTATCTTTTATTATGTAAACTGCTCATGTTGGGCTTGTGCCTTGCGCAGCTGGCATGTTTGATGAGATACATGTATAAATCAATATTTTTATTAGCCTTATTCCATTCTGCAGATAGTTTCAGATATTTCATTATCCCCTGAAACAAAGTTCTCAGAAAAGATGGAGCAGATTAGTAATACAGTAGGTCTGTTTTGTGTTCTAGGGGTGAATGGGGCCGTCAATGGCAGCGGGGTCCGTCCTCCCACCACACAAACAGGGGGCTTTTCTGCGAGTCCGGCTCCTGTTCAGGCATCGACTAAGCCAACCAAAAATTCAAACCCCTCCAACAGTCACCGTAGCAGCCCTCAGAACAATCCAGCAGAGTTGGTGGAAAAGCCGATCCAGAAGCCTAAAGAGAAGGTCAGTACTGAGATTTAGTTTAGTCCTCAGTTTGAAAAGAAGTGACATGTGAAATGCACAATTATGTCTCATACAGTGAGGCTCATTCTTGCTCTTGGTTTTTTTTTTGTTTTTTTGCTCAACTCAGAAGCCACGAAAGAAGCCAGCAGACACTTCTGTGGCGAGCAACAGCGAATCAGGCACATCCTCAGACAGCTCAAGTGACGGGTCCCTCAGCAGTGATCTGGAGGACCTAGCGGAGGATGATGAAGACGACGATGATGACGATGAGGATGACGAAGAAGAGGACAAACAGAGTGAATTATCAGACTCTGAGAAGCGGACAAAGAAGAAAACAAAGGTAAAGAAGAATCGAAGATGAGCAAGAGTGAAAGAGTTTTTTTGTTAAACGGAAACGATAACACACAGAGACACAGAGGGTCGTTTTTGTGCGAGCGCATAGCAGGAAGCCTGCATGCCCTCGGCTTCTCTGGCCATGGTGCACTTGACTCCACTTGGTGCCCAGTGCCTTCATTCACTAAAATAGTCTCCAAAATGATGAATGAATTAAAATAAATTATCATGCCATGAGGCTATTCTTTGTTCTAACAGTTCTTTATCCCCCCCCCTAGGTTTTGATACCGAGCACTGGAACTGCAAAGACTGACAGACCACTCTGTGGGGAGCCCCAGGACAAGAAAGACACCCAAACCCAGAAGGTTCCCTCCAACCCCCCAACCCTTGTGCCCTTACCCTGCTCTGTCTCCCCTCCTGCCTTGTCCCAAACCTCACCGCTGGCTCTGCACGGCTCCAGGTCCCGGACAGAGGGGACACAGCAACACTTCAGTGTGATTCAGTCCACTGGCCTGGCCGCCAACTCAAAGCCCCTGGCACTCCTCACTCAACCCCGTAGGGAGTCTTCACCGTCTTCCTCCCCCATAGCCCTGACCACATCTCCAAAGGCACTCTCCAGCACTGCCTCTCCCAAACCTCCTAAACTGCTGCCCTCCTCCTCCCCCCAGCACCTGCCCCTCTCCCTGTGCTCCTCCCCTAAGCCTCTGTCTGTCCCCTCTCCACCCCACTCGACTCTCCCGCTGTCTACCTCCCCAAAACCTTTTGGTTTGACCTCATCTGTAACAAGCTCCCAGAAGTCATCACTGAAGCACGTTGTTCCTGGCACTGCCAAATCCAACAAAAGGAAACTGCTGGAAGCTTCCCTTGCGCAGATCAATGAGTTCAGGCTCAAACAGGTAATAATGTCATTTATTTTTGCTATATCCACACAAATGACACACTGTACTCAATGCATATGCACAATATACTGTGAGATGAAGACAAGAGGAATATATCTGCACAGTAAGCCTTAGTGAACAAAGCTCTTCCCAACAAATTGACAGTAATGAATTTATCCAATGGAGTTGAGTGTGCAGTTAGATTTGCAGTTATGTGTCTCTCTTTTCTTCATCACTACTGCACAATAAAGAGCAGCTCTTTTAATCTGGTGGCCATTTACCACGTTTAAGACAAGCAGCTCACAGACAGTTACAAACCTGTTACTGCTGAAGCTGCACACTCAATTTAAAAAAATGATACAATATTTACTTTTGCTGTTTCGCATTCACAAAAGGGTAGGATCTTGTATCATGTTCCAAAGGGCCTCTTTAAAATTATTACATGGCCTTGGGCAAACTCTTACAACCGCAGTTGGATATCAGAGAGAATCTTTGTTTTGTGTGGTTGATTCAGGATGCAGTTCTTGTTAGAGTAAACTTGTAGGGCACCGGGATTGGACATGGAAAAACAACTGGACTAGTAAACTACTAAATAGTTACAGTTACTAGTTACTAGAGTGACAGTCTTGAGCTCTTGTGATAACCTTGGGAGAGGAACGAGTTTAGAATAAGTGAATATTTTGTCATTGTCAACTGTAATTAATGCCCACATTTGTACAAATAGGTAATTACTAACAAAATCATGCACTCTGCACCCACTCGGCTCTAATATCCTCCAGTCTTGTAGTAAGTGCTTAGTGCCTTGCACAAGGTAGCGTGGTATCTTCACAGTTTCGCTAATTTAGTACTTCCACATGTAAGGTTTTTCCCAGATTGTGTATTTTATGGGTTTTATTTGATGAACAGTGTTAGCAGTACATTCAGTTCTTACTCAAGTTAGTACTTTCTAACATCTTACTTCTGTGGATTTAAGTGTCCATATACTGTCAAGTTTAACTTTAAAGGTGCTACAGACCAAATTGGTGGCATCACGTTCAAACTTCCTTTCATACAAAGCCCATTAAGCTCTATGATCTACTGTATGTGTTATCAAGATTTTCAATGTGATTTCTAAGTGTTTACAGCTTCGGACTGATTTACAGTGGTTAAAGTTGCTCTATTCCTGAAAAGATTAGCCTGTTGATAAAATGCTTTTAGTTTCATTATCATTCTAAAGCAGACATGGGCTCTGCACATGTGCAACTGTATTATTTATATTATTGGGCAATTCAGATGAAATGCTATAACAACTGGCATTTTTCTTTGCTTTTGACTGCACAAATTCCCTTTCTTCAGATGAAATATGAATGATAGCGCAATAATCAATAAGCTAAATCTATTGAGAAAAGCTTATTCTGTGAAAATCATTTCCCCTTTCTTGTTTTACCAGTGTAGAGAAGTTTACAACGAGCTAAATTCCCCTTGTGGTTTCAGCACTGTTACTGTATTTCATGGTCTGTGAAATTGATTTGTTTCACTTCATATCACATCCAGTTGAAAGTGCAACGTTAAAGTCTAACCTGCCTTTGCTTAAACACAGATTGAGCCAAACTTGTCATCGGTGTAAAAAAAAAAAAAAAGGCAAACATACCCAGCCGCATGATGATGATAATGATGATGAAGCTTTTCAAATGTGCAGACAAGTAATTACAATTTTAGAGAGATACTCAGTGTTTCTTTTTGTGAACTTAGCCTAGTACAATGCCTTCGGTTATTGCATTTATGTTCTTTTTGTTTCCCAGAAAGGAGCTTAGACACAGTTAACTGTACCAGTGTTCAGCATTGTAGTTTTGTCACCTGCTCAAACAATCAACAGTGATGCGAACTGACAGCTAGAGCAACTCCACTTTGTCCCATTTCTTTTCTAATTTTTTTCCTAACCTTTCTTTGTTCCTCCCATTCTGGCTTTCCCTCTCCCTCCCTCCCCCTGACTCCCTGCCTCTCCTTGTTCTCTCCCTCTCTCCTCCTCCTCTTCTATTCCCAGACTCTCATGTCCCAAGGGCAGACGTTCCCAGCTGAGCTAAAGAAGCAGCAGCAGGGGCCAAACAAGTCTCCCAAGAGGACGTCTCTGTCTTCATCGCCATTGCCACCTGCTCCGCCTCCTCCACCCCAGAACAATCACTCCAACCTCTTCCTCTCGAGTGCCCTGCTGGGGCTCCCTGAACCCCATCACCCCAATGGAGTCATCCAAAGCACCACTCAGGACGCACCTTTGGCCCTCATCAGCAAACCTCGCAAAGACTCTGCCTCTAAAGGCAAGTCCCCTCAGTGCGACTCCGATGCTGGGTCGATGCCTGTCAATCTGAGCACAGGGGCCAGCAGGACCCAAGCAACCGCCCAGGCTGGGCCTCCGTCACAGCCCCCCACTACCTCACCCCATGCCACAGGCCATGGATCTAGAAAGAACAAGTCCCCTAAGGGTAAGGGACAGACACCAGGGCTGGGACAGGGACAGGGACAGGGACAAGCGGACCCTTTAGCTGCCTGGAAGGGCTTCTCTCAGAACCATCTGGTACAGTCTCTAGTAGATTTGTTTCGTGGAGGAGAGTCCGGGATCGGGATTCCTGGAGTTAGTATCCCTGGAGTTGGAATTCCTGGAGTGGGGATCCCTGGGACATGTAACCCCACAGCTGGTCTCCCTGCTAATAAGGAATCTGACGACTCAGGAGATGATGATGATGATGAGGATGACGACCTTGAGGAGGAGGAGGATGAAGAGGACTCAGATGATAGTCTGTCAGGTTTGTACCTGCTATGTAAAAACTAAAAGTAACTTTCACAATTTAATAATGAGCAGACAATAAAATATTAAAAATCAAGGCTGCCAGTAAAATTCATTTTAAGTATGATTACTTTCCTGATTATTTTTTGATTGTAAAAATTAATTATTTGGTCTATAAAATGTCCAAAATTAGTGAAAAATGTCCATCACAATTTGCTTAAGCTCAAGGTAAGGTCATAAAATTGCTTCTTGTGTCCAACTAACAGCCCGAAACCTGAAAATATTCAGTTAACAATCACATAAGACAAAGAAAAACAGCCAAATGAGAGACTTGAGCAATGCAATGTTTTGTATTACTGTTTGAAAAATAACTTAATCGATCAAAATAGTTGAAGGTTATGTTTCTGTCCAATCAATGAATCGACCGGTTGTTTCAGCTTGAATTAACATAACGGTCTGTCAGTCATTTAAGGAATCCATTTAAAATCCTTGAAATGCAGTCATACGAGAAAATCATTCATTTAATCTCCATTTGTTTTGATGAATTGATACCTCATTAATTTTAAACTATCAGCTCCTTACCTACTTTGTGCCCTGGTTTCCCGTTTCAGAGTCCGACAGCAACTCAGACAGTGACGTCTCTGGGAAGAAAGTAAAGGAGTTAAAGCTGCTGCCGTCTGGATCATCTACAAAGGAGACGACTCCCCGCAGGCTAACCAAAGGCCCAGAACTACTGAACACCTCAACCAATCACACCGCCACCAGCTGCTCCCCTCTCAACCTACAGGTCATCAAGACTCCCACCATTGTCACCAGCTCCAGTGCCTTGGCCTATCACAGCTCTCCAGGCTCATCCTCCTACAGCCTAGCCTCTCCATTAGGTAACGTGTCCAAAATCCTGTATGCAGAAACTTTAAAAGTGCAGGGGGAAAGATGGTTTTCATGGATCTCATACTGGAAAAAGCCAAGAAGTGAAGAGGGGTTGTTACTCTTAGGGAAGCAGGGAGAAGGCAGTGTGCTGTCATGGCCTAACTGGAGCTCTGAGGTCCTGCAGGGGCATGCCCAAGAGCCCTGACAACCTGTTTGGCACAGCAATGAGGTTCATTTCCTCCTCCTTACTATGCAGAGAAATTACCCAGATCAGAGAAAACAGGACATATGTGTAGCTTGCAAGACATGTTCAGCATATGTAGATGATCCAATCTTTCACCTACTGTAGGTAATTTTCTTCTCTCTATTGCTTTTCTTAAATGTTGATCAGACCATACCATGTGATACAAATTCAACCCTTTGTTTATACATATCAGCTTTGGCATTTTAGTTTTATGATTTCAATATGGCAGCTGAGGGAATTGAGTGTATATTTAACTTTTGTGTGTCACATGATGCTGGTGAATGCTGTTTTGAAAGGCCAGTGCGCGTAAACATGTAAGTCCTTGGTTACCTGCCAGGTATGATTACCGGTAAGTTCAGGGGCTTTGACTGCTGCTGCTACTGTGTGAGGTTTCTAGTCATAGGCTGTGCTGTCAAATTGATGGTTGAACTGTGTCTCTCCACAGGCTTAGGGAAGAGGAAGAGGGTGATGGATGAGAAGGAGTTGATGATACCTCTGGAGCTGGGGTATGTACAAGAGTCTGAGAGAGAAAGCTCTTATAAAGCGATTCACTTCAGAGAGTGTTAAAATTTTTTGGCACTTTTGTGATCACATCCAGACATGGTCAGAAATGTATGATCCACACTGTTTTTTTCCTGAACAGCTGTGCTATTTTTTATTCTTTATTTTTTTCATTCGTAAAAACCCAGGTGGCGGAGAGAAACAAGAATCAAATCAGTGACTGGACGGCCGCAGGGTGAGGTGGCCTACTACGCTCCGTGTGGCAAGAAACTAAGGCAGTACCCAGATGTGATGAAGGTACCTTTGCCTCATAGCACTGCAGCTTGATCTACATCCATGATACAGAAGCAAATGCTTTGAGGCATACAGATGAGCAGTTGAGTTTGTGACAGGGATTACAGTGGGAATCACTGTGGGATGATTTATCATGAAAGATATTTTAGGTAATGATTGCAACACTGCTCCTCCACATTGCTCAAACAAATGCTTGAGTATCAGGATTTGTTGTATTTTTTCTGTGCTATGGCTCCAGCTGCACTCCACCCCCACCCTGCTTTCTATGACCCTAATAGTGAGAGATGATATTCTTAGATTCACTTCTTGTGCCATTTTTTTCAACCCCCCTCCCCCTACCCCCTTACCGCTCCCCTTGCCGCCCTCCCCCCCCCCGCAAAAATATGATTAATGTTTAGTGTTGGGATGCACAGCTTCGGCCCCATTTGTACAGTATATTATAGTGTATAATCTTTGTTGTTTGATTCATCAAAAGCTCAACCACACTGATTGTCAAAACTGCCTTTGAGTGTAGTAGTGTGAACAAAAAAATGGATACTCAGTAACATTCACTCACTGCTAGTCAGTCAGTAGGCAGTAAAAGGCCTAGCAATGCCACAGATAAATAAGAAAGGGCCTGAATTGTGCACCCCAAGGTCAGAACCGTTTTTCTCTCCTGAGAGCTCTTGCTCTTTTTTTGTCCCCCGGCTTTTATAATGATTAGTAGCACTGCACAGATGCACACTGTAACCTTAGACTCCCTTCAATCTAGTGCCTCCCAGTTGCTTTTCAATGTCGCTAATTTCGCAATTTTTTTTCTGCCTAAACCAACGCCATTATTATTTTCTCTTCTGTAGTATCTATCCAGAAATGGAATAAGTGGCATCACGCGTGATAATTTTAGCTTCAGTGCAAAGATAAGGGTTGGTGACTTCTATGAAGCCAGAGAAGGACCCCAGGTGACTGCCTTTCATCTCTCTCTCTCTCTCTCTCTCTCCCTGATCCCTGTTCATCTTTTCATCTAGCGGCAGGCAAAGCTTCATGCAGCAGTCACTATCAGGGCATGGATAGGAATCAACCAAAACCCTCAGTAGTCCTAGTTCATAGCTCTCTCACTGTGCATGGAGAAATGTAATAATCAGCTGACATTACTTCCACAGGTGACCAATGATATATGCCATGTTATGTGTCTGTGATACAAAGAAATATATTAGAAAATATATATGTGTGCATTATTGGAAACAGAACAGAGAAAATACTTAAAAATAGATACATGCATTTCTGAGGGGCCAGAGAAACTAGATGAACACAGATAGATTATTAAATGAGCAATTCTTATGTAACATACTGTTTAGCCAGCTTCTTACTATGTATTATAGAAAATATAATGATTTATCATTTTAAAAGAGAAGATCTTATTTGAATCACTGTTGAATACACGAGTCAGAGTCCAGTTAGCAAATTATTAAATTCTTCCGTAGTCATATGAAATGATGTACCTCAACAAGTTGCTCACTGTTACATCTCTCCACACCCCTCCCAATATCTCCACCTCTACTTTTCTTCTCCCTCAACTCTCTAAGGGTTTACAGTGGAGCCTGTTGAAGGAAGAGGAGGTCATTCCTCGTATTTTGGCGATGGAAGGTCGTAGGGGTCGTCCCCCTAATTCAGAGCGTCAGTTAGCAGGTGAAGGTACCAAAGGTACCCGACGGAGGAAGGGACGACCCCCTAATGTTGGCGATCCACTGGTGCCCGAGGGCCCCAGTCCCAGTGAGGTCAAACTTCTGCGCAAACTAGAGGCTCAAGGTCAGCAGAGGAAATGAGCCCTGAAATATGTTTGTCATAAGTGCGTGTGCCATTAATCAACCAGCCATTATTCAGGTTGCCAAAGCCAAGGAAGGAGTTACAGTTTAAAATATTTTTATAGTATATGGATAAGTCTGTTTTTGTTGTCATGCTTGTGTGTTACCTCTGCCTACTTGTGTCGTAATAGAGATACTTTTTGAGATGAATCAGCATTGTTATCATGTCCTTTTGATGTTCCTGAGCTTTTGTTTGACTTTGATAATAACATAATTGCCGATGGTGTTATTACAAATTAAAATAATTTTTTATGGCCCAGAAACCCCATGGTGATCAGTTCTACCCTCATTAAAATAGATATAATTCAGTATTTTAAAATGTTAATGGACAAATAAATATGGTTTTGAGTATCTCTCCCACATTTTGTCTAAATTTTATGAAAGGTAAAGCATGGGCTCAGTGAAATGTGCTAGATTAGGCTACAGCAGCATTTAGGTATTCTTCTGAAATTTCTCACTGATGATGACTTTCTTCCTGTTCTGTGCAGAAATAGCCCGACAGGCCGCCCAGATGAAACTGATGAGAAAACTGGAAAAGCAGGCACTGGCACGTGCAGCCAAAGAAGCTCGGAAGCAGCAAGGTAAACTCTTGTTTTGTTTTTTTTTTGTGTTGTTAACAAGAACATGGAGATAGCGGTGGGGGTTATTGGGTTGGTCAGTTGGCCACTTCAAACCACTTTGATCTAAATGTGTGTAGTATAAAGACAGCAGGGCCTTTGTTTGTATGTGTAAATTTATTTTCATCACTTTAAAGCACAAGCTTTAATCTTCTTTCTGCCCTAATCTTTATTGCTGCTTTGCTGCCGGTTTCAAACGTTATGCTTATACATTTTTTAAATTCCTACACGCGATGTCAAAGCTAAAAAAAAAAAGAAACATCAGATCAAAATCTCAAGACTGTTTACTTAGCAATCACGTACACTCAGAACTAGAAGCAGGCATGTTATATATTCTGAAATGTATAATGCACCAATACATTTAAAGCAGAGACAATTTTGATGTGATGCTGTGCTTTCAACATAACTTCTACATGTTTTTTATTAAACTTTTACAGCTGCTAGAATATGAAAATGATCTCACATCCACTGTATAAATTTAGTGACACTGGTGACCTAAAAGCTATCTGCTTATATCTAATCTGTCCTGTCTGTCTAAAATCCCAGAATCACTGATCAGCTCGCATGCCGGTGCCTTCATATAGTTTAATAATATCCTCCAGTCATAAGAATCAAGGTTAAGACCAGGTCATAGTGCGATACCTGCTGCAGCTACACTTGTGGATGACTGATAAAAATAAACATTGTGATACTCTTTGTTGATCTGTCTAAAGCTTTTGATATTGATGACGATAACACTACTAGATAAGTTGTTTTGATTATTACTGTATTTTTATTATGGTTAAACTCATCTTTCTGGTTAGAGTCACTAATTCTTCTAATGAACTTCTAATGAACTAATGACCTTTGTGTGTGATTGTTTTGTGTGACCGAGTCATCTCAGTTATGATCTGGTGCTCTGAATTTCTGGGCCTCTCGTGTAAAACACATCCTTATCTCAGTGAGACCTCCTGAATAAATAAAGCTCAACCACTGCAATTCTCTCAGATATGAATGCAGTTGGTAGCCCAGCTTTGTGGGTCATTTTTGCAGACTTTTAATATAATACTGACTTAACTCTTGCAGCTATCATGGCGGCAGAGGAGAGAAGGAAGCAGAAAGAGCAGATCAAGATTCTCAAGCAGCAGGTTGGTCTTCTCTACAGTGTGCTGACAAATGTTTTTCTTCCCTTTCTCCTTATCTAAGTGTCCTGACTCATGTAGTCCCTGTCTGCACTGCACAAAATGCTGAATGGTTATTTTGTGATGCTTTAAAGCTTGCTTTTCAATTACCGCCATTACCTCTAGTGCTAAACTTTTTGTTGTGTTTTTTTTTTTTTTTGCATATCCCAATTGGAATAGAGTGGTTAGAAAGTGATTTTATCTAAGGGTGTTTTCCAGTGTCTAAAATATTGAGAGATTAAGTTTTTTTTTTTTTTTTTTTTTTCCACAGGAAAAGAACAAGCGCATTCAGCAGATTCGGATGGAGAAGGAACTCAGGGCGCAGCAAATTTTGGAGGTACAGAATTTGATCCAACAGCACCTCTGATTAAGCAGAACATTCCTGGATAGCTACAACCCCTCAGTCTATAGTGTTTTAATCTTCCTAAAGCTCATTACTGAACAGCAGCATGCATTGGAGGGAGTTGCGTCTTCTTAGGCATAATTCCACATGGAACTAATGCTAAATTGGTCTTGGTTGACGGCTGTTGAATATTAAAATGGCTGTTGCTGCCTCTTCAGACCTTATTTAAATTGGACAGAAAAGTCTTTTTTTCATCAGACAACAGTAACAGTTTAGCATAAGTGGGTCGAGGGAAAAAAAAAAGGTGCTGTTTTCCACACACACAAACACACATGCCAAGATGCATTCACATCCACACACACATCCACACATACGCAGGCGCACACAATTATACTGTTGGAGCTTCAAAGTGTTTTAGCAGGACTAAATCAATTTTGAGTTGACACGGTTGGCAAGCCACTCTTAACGGGAGGCTTCAACATTTTCACAATTACGTGTTAAAGAGATACATTATTCATTCGCTGTGTTTTACAAATTTGACTGGCATTCAGGAGCATGAAATCTTCGCTCAAACCAGAAAACTGCAAACAATCAGTTAAAGTGCAGCAAAGTCCTCACCCAAGACTGATTGATATGTCTGTCTCTGTGATTCTTGACTTTAATCTTTATTCATAGGCCAAACGGAAAAAGAAGGAAGAAGCCGCCAATGCCAAAATATTGGAGGCTGAGAAACGGATAAAGGTATGTTTCAAATTTTTTTATGAAACTCCCCACATGTAAAATTACAGTCAGTTTTATATTCACACAAACGTAGCATGGATCCCTTTTTGCTGAAATAAAAAACCTGAATCACTGTATGTGCCATACAGTGACGGTAATGTGAGTCTTTTTCCACTTAAGAAGTAGCTGCGCAATAAAATTAGAGCAGCCTTTTGAAATGGGCTGAAATTCCATCAGTCTGTGGTGATTTTGTGATGATATTGGAACTATGGAAGAATATTGATTTTTCCCTCATCTTCTCTTTCTTGCCTTCAAGGAGAAAGAGTTGAGGAGACAGCAGGCGGAAATTCTCAAACACCAGGTAGGCATTCACTACAACTTCCTCAGGCCTTTGAACGTAGTAGTTAGTGCTGAATAAAACCATTTATCTCAAACTTCAGTAAGAATTTGCAGGTGTGTATGTGTGTGTATGTGTGTGTGTGTGTGTGTGTGTGAGTGTGTGAGTGTGTGTGTTTCTGTGTGAATATATGTGCTTCTACATACATTTAAATACAGGCATGTGTGACTTTATATAAATGTAGTTAATGACCAAACATCTATTTAATGAAAGTCTTCAGTATTTCTCTTTATTGAACCCCATGCTTATTGGTATTGGATATTACTTCTGTTCCTTAATATTTTGCCAACTCTCTCTGCCAGGAGTTGGAGAGGCATAGACTAGATATGGTATGGGTATGTTTATTTTTGTACATCTAACACCTGCATCGTGTAACTGGTTGTGTTATGGTTGTCATAGCAATGCATTAAGTGTAGCACTGGCTGCTGTCATACTACATTCTTCTGCATGGCTTTCCAGCAAAACCAACAAAAGAGAAAAAGAGTCAGTATGCTGCCTCCATCTGCTCGTCCTGAGGGACAACTGACCCTGTCACGGTGGCCAGGCAGCTTCTGTCCCCCTCCCCCATCCTACCCCTTCTACTCAGAATGCATTGCAAAGACTGCTAGCCAATCCACACTCACTGTCTGAAAGTGCACTCGAGGAGTTTCCATCCATCACATACATTGTCTAACTGTTGTATTGGAGTAGCCTGTGTTACCCATGAGTGCTTGACGATTTCGGCCCAGACATTGAGCTTGTGTCTGTTCGTCCGTGCATCTGTTCTGCAGTCCACAGAGTGCTGGACTTTAACCTGCCCCATCCCAGCCTCTCTGTCATTCACTGTTCCTGTACTCTGCACAAAGAATGAAAACAGCTACTGAGAATCATTTTGTCTTTATGGTGGAGGGATTTCCTGGCAGATTACCGCCCTCCGCCAAGTTTGATGAGGGTACAGCACAACCTTTGCTTGAAAATAAACCTGATAGACTGTTGAACAACAATATAATCAGTTCCACCATGAGGACAGATATGGTTCCGTGTAGCATTTTATTTTGGCCTCGCTGTCTTGCTTGTAGCCCTTCTCACTCATACACAGTCGCAGCTGAATCTAAAGGTCTGCCTATATGTTTCACAGTGGACTCTGAGCCGATTGTTGCTTCAACCCCTTTTGTAGCTTCACTCGGAGCACAATGAAGGGGGGCAAATTGAGATAGATGAAATAATCCTGGTATTTAAGATTGTCATGTGCAATTGTATTGCATTTGATGTATTGTAGTTTCTTATCATAATAACCTTTAACATATTCAGTATTTTTGATGAATTGAAAAAGCTAGAAAAAGCTGAATGCCACAGGCTTCATGTCCTTTTTGAACTTGTCCTTTTTGAAGTTTTCCATTTGTAGATAAATGAAACCAATAGGAACATAGAAATATTGCAGCAGAGTGCTTGGCATCCAGCCTGTTTTGTTTATCACAATGACAAAACGATCCTCACAAACAGCCCATTTTAGTCCCTATGTGCTGGAAATGTCCTTGGCAAGCCCTAATAGTGGCAATTGTGTCTTTCTGGTGGATCACAGAGGGAATGACAGCCTGATACGGTGGAGCGGGAAACCTAAAGAGATCAAATGAAATGATAGTCAGTCACCGGTGATTCCTGTGCCCTTTTGCAGTAGACTGTGTAACATAGATGTCTCATCCTCAGCAGTTACATACTGTGCTAATACTTAAGCTGCCAAAACCACTGAAGTGGAACTGCTCTGTTTGTAGCTACTCTTTACCATCCATTCCTCTTTGTCGTTCCCCTCACCAAATATTATTAGAATGATGCGTCAAATAAACATTAGCATTGACTCATGTAATTGAATTTTATTATTTTGATCGTAAGGCCAATGTGGCATGTCAGAAGATTTCTGGCAACCAGCGTTTTGTTGCTTTTGTTGTGTCAGCTTTAGTTTAGAGGCGCCGTCACCGATTCCAGCTGCTTCTCTTTTTGAGCCTGTCATCACATCTACTTTATATCGCATCTATGTGTTGCTTTTTGGTTGTCATTGTACTACTGTACTCTTCACTTATGCTTCCACCACACATGTGAAAGTGCATACATGTGAAGCATCGTTTTGTGTTTGTTCAAGTATGGTGCCTCTATTGAATTTAGTGCATCGCAATTTTGCATTAATGCACACTAAATTTAGTCGACCTTGAGGACTGTATGTACAATGTGTGCCTGTTAATGTGCCTCTGTGTTTTTTGCCACTCTAGGAGAGGGAGAGGAGAAGGCAACATGTAATGCTGATGAAGGCTGTTGAGGCTCGCAAGAAAGCAGAGGTAGTCCATATGCACACAAATAAATGCAGAAGTACACATACAGTCCACTCCATAAAAAGAGCCTCAGTCATTATTCCTTGGATGGATTCCCGCTTCCTTTCCTTTTTGTGCGTTCTTTCCCTCCATTCATTTTTTTTTTCTACACACTTACCAAGTCAAAAGATTCTGGCCCTCAAGCACTTTTCCTTTGAATGCACAGCAGCATTAGGCTGAATTCTAATACTGCTCAGCAAAGTCAAGTAAACCTTCTTGTCTGTTTCACACACACACACACACACATAAATGCACACACACACACACCCACACACACACACACTTTGCTTCCCTAATGCTCCCTTGAATTTTGGACTCTCTAGGAGCGTGAGCGCTTGCGGCAGGAGAAAAGGGATGAGAAGCGCCTGAACAAAGAGCGTAAACTGGAGCAACGGAGGCTGGAGCTGGAGATAGCGAGGGAACTGAAGAAGCCAAATGAAGACATGTGTCTGTCTGATCACAAGGTAGCTTAGACAGTAGTCCGTCCGGTCAGTGCTGTGAGTGTAAAGTTGATCACAAAAAGAAAAAAAAAAAAAACAAACGATCAAAACAATGTAAACTGTAGTCCGTACACAATGTAATGTAAAGTCAATTTTTCTCTAAAATCTTACGCCATTAGAAGGATGTGGATTTAGGGCAGCAGGTTGGCACAGTCACAAAATGCCTGTCTTGCCATTATAACAATAATAATAGTTATTATCATCATTATTCTTTTTTATTATTATCATTATTATTATTCAATTTTCTTGAGGGTCAGTACTTACAATAAGACTACATGGTAGCAAGCCTTTTTATGTGTGGAGGTGTGTGCCCCCAAGTGGCTAAAGAAGAGTACTGCATCATGTAGAAAATTAGCAGTCATTACTATAAATTTGAAAGCACCATCTTGATAACAGTCAACAGATGTGTGATATAATGACAGGTTTTCTCCCATTTACCTCTGTTGTTCAACTCATAATTTTCTGTTGTCCAAATTAGATTTAATTTATTGATCTCATAGTAACACACAACAACAGCAAAAACAGCTGACAATCCTATTTAACCCACTCTCCTTTGTCCAGCCTCTCCCTGAGTTCTCCCGGATTCCTGGACTCATCCTGCCAGGACGTGCTGTGTCAGACTGCCTGATGCTGATGCAGTTCCTGCGAGGCTTTGGGAAGGTTTTGGGGCTTGATTTGAATGTGGATGTGCCCACCCTGGGCATGCTACAGGAGGGCTTGCTCAACGTGGGGGACAGCATGGGCCACGTCCAAGACCTTCTCGTCAAACTGCTTTCTCTGGCAGTCTGTGATCCCGGTTTGCCACCTGGACACAAGGTGAGCTAGGTCAAAGTTGATTACATTATGCATTGTATTTGTGTATAATTTAATGTGTATAACCAGTGGAACCATCTTGAGAATTACACCTGAGACAGAAATATGGCATATATTGCTCTCTCTGATCATTTTAGTCAGAAGTGACTTCATACGAAAAGTTTATTTATTAGTATTGTTATATATTGTTTTACATGCCAAATGTATGATTAACTTAGTAAATATGATGCATTGCTTAAATGTATGTAGACCTAGCACCTACCAAAGCACTACAATACTAAAATATCTCTTAAAGATTAATGCACCAATCATTCATTTAATCTAATAGGAACCAATCTTCAGTATGAGTACTTTTACATTTGATAATCTGATATTAATGTTAGTGCTAATGTGTGTGTGTATATATATATATATATATATATATATATACACTGTTGCTCATAAAGTTGGAATAAAATATGTTTTACCTCTTTCCATGAAATGATTGTGACAATGTGATTTATTTCATTTCACCTGGGTAATTGGGACACATAATGTAATCATTGCACCTGGTCAAAAGTGATTACTGATACATTTAAATAGGAATAAACAGAGGATTGTGTCTGAAAACAAAATTATTCCAACTTTATGGGCAACAGTGTATATATATATATATATATATATATCATATTACTAGTAATTCTAAAATTACAAATAACTAGGTTAGAAGTCAAATCAACTCCTGTTTATCAAGAAGTGTTCATCAACTTTATGTCCTCATCATCCTTGCCTCCTTTTACAGACAAAAACCATGCTGGGGGACCATCTGACCAATGTTGGCATCAACAGGGATAATGTGTCTGAGGTGCTACAGATGTACATGGGAGCCCATTGTGCCAATACAGAACTGGCTCCTCTGGCCCTCAGTTTGAAGACTAAGGCCTTCCAGGCCCACACGCCTGCCCAGAAGGCCTCAATTCTGGGCTTCCTGGCTAATGAGCTGGCCTGCAGCAAGGCTGTTATCAGGTAGGTGAAGCAGGTGAAACTGAAAAGTGGGATTGTTCAACTGTTGAGTGTCGGTAATATATTGTTGGATGGTTATGCAAAAACACATAATTAGAAAGCCAACAATAATAAATTCATCCATCATGCACTGTATGTGCTGATATATTTCTTAACACTCACTCAGTTATTCATTAGCCAATAGTGGTATGTTTTATTGATGCAGTGGAAACTGTTTAATAAAGCTTCCATAGGGAACAGTAATTGGCAGTAGAGTCCTTTTGATTGTAAGGAAATTATGCAAGTATTAATTTGTGCACTGGGATACCAGCTTATTAAGCTTTTTACTCGGGCTGCAGATAGCTGCCAGCTGCCTTGAGCTTTTATCTTTTATTAAATATATTTGTTATTATTTTCTGAGAATACCAAAAGCATAGATGTACATAGCCACAACTGTAACTGACAGGATTGCATTTCCTCTTGCAGTGAGATTGACAAGAGCCTTGATCAGATGGCAAACATGAGGAAGGACAAGATCATTATGGAGGGAAAACTGAAGAAGTGAGTTTACTTTAATCCTTAAAAATACTGCTTTTAATCTCTGTAGACTATCAGACTAACCTGTGTGTGTGTTTATGCAGGCTCAGGACCATTTATGCCAAACGTACTGGTAGGAGGGAGGCCAGTATGGGTGTGGAGGAGAACCAGTCTGTTGGGACTCCATCCTCTGCTGCCAAACGCAAGAGGAAACTGGGTGCAGACAGTGAAGATGATGAAGACGACGATGACGACAGCGATGACCAGGCAGAGGAGGAAGAGGATGAGGAGGAGGAAGAAATTAAGAAAGTTAAAAAAGTGGAGACCTACGATGAGGTAGGGAGATTGATCCATCTATAGAGCCATGATCAAAACTGACCATGGTGGGTTGCTTGCAGACATTCACTGTATTTCTTTTGTCCCTGTCAGGATGATGTTGACCAAGCCACCAGTATTGAGGAGCTGGAGAAGCAGATAGAGAAGCTAGCCAAGGTTTGTTCTTTAAAATGTACAAGTGCTGTGACAAAGTCAGTACCCATTCACATAAATTTATAATTCATCAGATAATGAATTCATGCTTGGTTGACACCGATAACGTGGGATTAAAAACAGAACACACAGCACGATAAAAAGAAAGTCTCTTGGGGGAGCAACTATGAAGAGATAAACCACAGAAATGTGGAGTCTTACTGCTGTTTTTTTTTTTTTTATTTCCCACCTTCATTGCTTGTGGTTATGCTGAGCTGTATGTTGCTGTGAAGTTTTGATAATCATGTTAGTTTTTGGAAGATGTTTAATTATTTGAAAAACTAAATAGATTCTTAAAATAGCTACAACCTCTAAACGCTTTAATATGCAGTGTTTATTAAAAACAACCATTTGTTTTGTACATTTTATGAACATGTACGCTTACATAGGGCTATTTGCTAATGAAGACATTAATTAGCTTAATAAATTACCTCATTAGCATAGCATGTAATGCTCAATATATCACGGTCATTACTGAAGGACATTAGTTAGTGTCTTTTGTTTTCCTGAAGGTCTATAAATAATCTATAGAAGTCACAGAGTATGTTTTGTACCATTGCAGCAACATCATCAGACCAGAAGAAAGCTGTTTGAGATCTCCCACTCTCTGCGCTCCATGATGTATGGCCAGGACCGTTACCGCCGCCGGTACTGGGTACTTCCCCACTGTGGAGGGGTCTTCATTGAAGCCATGGAGAGCGGAGAAGGTATTTACAGCGCAGTACACACTATGTTTGATTAATTTTTATATTAAAATGCTTCACAAAAATATTTGGAAAATAGAAATGACAGTTCATGTGGCAGGAAGAGGAAGAAAGAAATGTCGTAAATATATCTGTTCACATGCATGTTCAGCTGTTTTTGCCGCTATGAAATATGCTGATGATGTTTTACTTTATCTTAATTCTCTTAAGACTAATTTGAGATTGCATCTGTAAACTCTAATAATCTAACACAACTCTACTTATCTCCCAGAAGCAAGTGTAGAATAATCTGCTCAGTTGTTGTATCACAGTAGAAGCGTTTTCAGATGCATCAACAGTTCGCTCTCTCATTTCCCTGCAGCACCAGAGGAACTGGAGGAGGAGCGACAGAGGAGGAGGAGGGCAGCAGAGGAGGTCAAGGTCAAAGAGGAACCTCAGGAGATCGAGTTGGAGAAGGAGAAACCCACCAACGTTGATGGGCAGACCATTCGAACACAAGGTTTGGAGCAACAGAAAGAGGAGGAGAAGGAGCACGAGGACAAAAGGAGCTCCCCGACCCTCTTCTACCAGCAACCAGGCTGTGTATCCAAACTGTGTACACTCCGAGACGTCAACAAGGACGTCGGCAAAGAAACTGTGAAGGCAGAGGACAAGGAGAGTCCCCATGTGAGACAAAACGGCAGCCCCGTGGGCACTCCTAATGCTTCAACTTCAGTAACATCATCCTCCCCCACCCACATTACCTCCGAGCCGGCAGTAGCAACAACCCCCTCCATGGTGACCACTAATGACACTACAAACATCCCTCTCCCAGCCTCAACCTCTTTATCTGTCCCGTGCCTGCCAGCCCCACGTGAAAGCCCAGGGAACACTCCTCCAACCTCATCCCCTGCTCCATCTCCACACCTCTCATTCCAAGCTAACGACCAGCTACTCAGAGTCCTGACCGAGAGGAGTGGCCACTGGTTCAGTCTGCTGCCTCGTAACCCCTGTGACCTCTCTTCCATCACCACGCCTCCTCCAGGAGCAGCCCATGTGTCTCCTCAGGCATCCTCCACCCCAGCCAGGCCCAGATCCCCACCTCCATCCCCTGCCCTGCCTCTCACCCCTTCTGCTGCCTCAGCCTCCGCCAGCCCACACCACCCAGCTGGCCTCCTCAACTACCCAATATCGGCCCTGCAGGTGAGGCCGCTGGCAGGAAGCGAGACAGTTATATTTGCTGCATACCAGATCACCTCAACTGTGACTCTCTGTTTTGTCTCCTCGAACTCCACCCCCCTCACCTTTCTGTTTTTCCTCTTTTCTCCCCAGGTGAAGCCCGGTGGTTCATTGCTAGGAGTTTCTTTCGGAAACTGGCCCAGTGGCATGATAAGTCCCAGCCTGCCTCTGTGCAGCAGCCCCAGCCCCATGCCGGGTCATTCTCTGGAGGGCAACACAGCAGCAAGTGTCTCCAGTAAGAGTGAATCACCTTTACCTCGCATTGAGAAATCCTCATCCATGCCCTCTCCTGCCTTGGAAATGCCAAAATCCCTCGACCACCTGGCACCTCGGCCCATCCCAGAGGGTGAGTGACAAAAAAAAACACTAAGGGAAATTACAGCAGAGACCATGATCAACCTTCATTTTTTAGTTGAAAATAATTCACCTGCCTGAAAAGATTTCACTTGCCTGAATAATCCAAGATAATTGGATTAGGGAGCGTTCTGCTCTGCTGTACGCAATTTCATTTGGGTATAACATAGCTGAATGAAGCACCTTTTTACAGTGATGTATGTTCAGTGTCTCCGAGCTTACATGCCTGTTTGTGCTCATTGTTTCAGAGATGCTGACAGGGTGGTGGCGGGTTTCTGACATCGAGGAGCTGAGAGCTTTAGTCAATGCTCTCCACAGCCGAGGCATCAGAGAGAAGGGCCTCCAGAGGCAGATGCAGAAATACATGGAGATCATCCCCCAGGTCTGCACCAAACACAAAGACGGTAAGTGTCTCAGCACTTCCTCTCAGCACATAATCACTGCATATACTGTAGCTTGGATTCATTAACAAGATTGAGAGCATTTAGAAAGTAGATTATTTTGCGGTAATACATACTGATGTGGTGTGCTGTCATTCAAATTTATGTGTTGATCCCTGAATACACTGGCAACACTGCATCATTTATGACTGAATCACATGATTGCTACATTGCTCATGTGTTTACCTGCCTGGATGAGTCTGTGTGTTCATGGCCGACTTAAACCTGTCATGCCCTCCATCTAGTGGCCATGATCGAGCTGTGTGAGCTGGAGGAGAGCCAGGTCAGTGTGGAGTCGGTGCGAGGCTGGTGTGTTGAGGAGCAGGCGATGGAGATGGACATTGCCGTGCTGCAGCAGGTGGAGGAGCTGGAGAGGAAGGTCACCGCAGCCAGCCTGCAGGTCAAGGTAAAATGCTAACACAAGAGCACAAATACATATTTTGTGGCGTAAAAAAATTATGTTTAAGAATGGAAGGGTGTAAGGGTGTAAGGTTGTGATGAGAGGCCAAAAGCCTGAACAGCTGATTTCCTCTCCCAGGGCTGGACGTATCCGGACCCTCAATCTGAGAGGGAGGACCTGGTGTATTACGAGCACAAGCCCCCCACAAAATCGACGGCGGCGTCAGCAAATGCAGGAGACAAGGACTCCAAGGAGCATCCTGAGGAGCGGGGGGAGAAGGGCGGGGTGATGCGTCACCTGGACAACCCGCTGGACATAGCAGTGACACGTCTGGCTGATCTGGAGCGCAACATCGAGAGAAGGTACCTGAGGAGCCCCTTAGGTACCACCATTCAGATCAGGCTGGATAATGTGGGTACGGTCACTGTCCCTGCCCCCGCCCCATCCACTAGTGCTGACAGGGAAGGGTAGGTCATTTCTCCAACCAAAGCTCCCCACTCTCCCACTAAGACCCTTTCCTCTCTCTGTGTGTGCTTTTTGTTTCCCATATTACTCAAAAAGTGAGGGCCTATGCTGCTTTCACAGCAGGTTTTTGTGGTGGCTTGTGGCATTTTTTTTTTTTTTGTTTCTTTGGTCTTGTGCAGTTTTTAGGGTAGATGGGAGGGGGGGCTGCGCTCCCCTTAATTTCATTTCCTGTACAGGCATTGTTTACTGGCATTTTTTTTTTTCTGCAGTCATCTGCATGGTGTTGTGCATCAGTAACTTTGGTTATGGTCGCACTCATGGCTCTCCCACTATACAGAATACTTACGCAGGTTCTGCTCCTTCACTCTTTCTGCATGAACGTCCCCTTAACATGACAAAATCAGTGTGTACCTCTCCCCAGCGCCCTACACCCCCCAAAATCCTCATGCCTGTCTCTGCACAGCTGGAGCTCTTTATGGTCTGCTGTCTCGTTGGCGGCTGGTTCAGCTGATACAGTTTACTGCTTTGTGTGTGCGTAAATTCGCCCACATATTCACGCGTATGTGTGCGTTTTTGTTTCTCATCACCTTCCCATTATTCCTCGTTATCTTTTTTCCAGCGGTGAGGAGGAGGTGGCCCACGGCATGAAGGTGTGGAGGAAGGCCCTGACTGAAGTACGCAGCGCTGCCCAGTTGGCCATGTGCATCCAGCAACTGCAGAAGTCTATTGCCTGGGAGAGGTCCATCATGAAAGTGGTGAGCAACAGATAAAAATGAACCACAACTTTATTCCGGAAGTGTGCGCTTGTTTTTAATGAATGCCTTTGTTTTGTAGTACTGTCAGATGTGCAAGAAGGGGGATAATGAGGACCTCCTCCTGCTGTGCGATGGTTGTGACAAAGGCTGCCACACTTACTGTCACAAACCCAAGATCACCAGTATCCCAGAGGGAGACTGGTACTGCCCGGCCTGCATATCCAAGGTATCAGAGCCTTTTATAATGCATTGCCGTCTGTGCGCAGTGTTCAGACTCAAAATCCAGACATTTTGAATGCTCAATATTCTTTCTTTTAATACATTTTTGGGCTTTTTAGGCGATTATTTATAGGTGGACTGTAAAGAGATGAGAAGAAATAAGAAGGGAGAGACAGACAGAGAGAGAGAGAGATGTTTTATGTACAGTATATGTTATGCATCTTAACCACTAGGTCACCAGGACATTGCTTGCTCAAAGAATTCTCATCAACTTCAGGGATTTTATATTTCCCCTAAAGTTTTATTGTATTTCTTCTCACCTTTTATTGTCTGCAGCATGGATTTGGCATTTATCCTATTAAGTGACAATAAAACTTTCCATTCATATTCATACTCTGAGAAGCTGGAAAACAACTGATTTTATTGCAAGCTTTACAGAATGTTTTTATGTAGATGCGAGTCGGGAAGAACTAAATAATATTAGTGGTGTAAGATATGACAAATTGATGTGATATTTTCGAAAAGGCCAATATTATTATGATAAGTCGGTCTAAGAGGACACTATAGTATTAGTTTTAATTGCACCAGACCTCAGATAATGCATTCTTTATTCTGTGCAGGCAAGTGGTCCATCCCCCAAAAGCAAAAAGCCTCAAAGCAAACCAGTAGCATCCAGCGGAGGAGGCGGTAAGAAAGGTGGAGAGGCGAAGAAGAACGGGAAGCAGACAGGTAACGGGGAAGTATCGGAGGACGACTCGGCCAGCGCCAGCAGCACACCCAAGAAAGGAGCAAAAGACACCAGCAGGAAGAGGAAAACAGAAGAGACCTCAGCTGCTCTGCCAGCAGCCAATCAGGAGAGCCCTGTGTGTGTGAAGCGAGCCAAAACAGCCAGAGACAACAACAGGGACCTGGGATTATGCAGGTATGTGCTCCCAGCTTGCTCATACTTGTCTTTATGTTGAATTCTTCATTTATTAATCACCTTCTTCTAAACTGTTTTACAGTAGCTGCCATTGTCTGTAGGATTGTATCAGTTACGGGGAGCTGATGTGTTTTCACTTTTTCAGTAAATAAAATTCTTTTGTGGACACAGCTTCTCTGTGTGATATTCAAGGCGTCTTCCGTGTCTAACCCTGTGTGCGTGTGTGCTTCCATGTGTGTTTGTGTGTTCAACAGGGTACTCCTTGCTGAGCTGGAGCGGCATCAGGATGCATGGCCTTTCCTCACACCCGTCAACCTGAAATCGGTCCCTGGCTACAAGAAGGTCATCAAGAAACCGATGGACTTCTCCACCATACGTGAGAAGCTTGTGAGCAGCCAGTGAGTTCCCATCGCCTCTGTTTGTTTTCTTTTCTTTTCTACTGAAATCCTTCAGGGCCTTTGCACAGAATTTAAAGTCAGGCTGACAGTGTTTTTCAGCAAATAAGTTTTAGTTACACCACAGTGCGTGTGATATATCAGCTTCATGTAAGTTGCACTTTCTCACCTAAAGTTTTTTTGTTTTATTTAAGGTATCAGAACCTGGAGACTTTCATCATTGATGTCAACTTGGTCTTTGATAACTGCGAAAAATTCAATGAAGACAATTCAGACATTGGTCGAGCTGGCCATAACATGAGGAAGTTCTTCGAGAAGCGCTGGACTGAGCTTCTGAAACAAACAAACTAAAAGTCTGTTCAGTTTCTCCCCATAAAACCATTCAACTTTTCATATCGGAGCACCAGGTTTTACTTTCATTTTTATTTCCTGATGGAGAAAATGGCTTTGCAGGATGGAAGAAGAAGTCAAATCCTTAATAAGGAAACCATGGTGTGCTTAAGAGAGATGTCACCTTGAAAAAAAAAAAAAAAAAAAAAGTTATTACATGAGGTGCGCTGGATTTATAACAACAGGGATAAAAGCCCCAAAGAGTCCCAGAGAAATGGGGTGTCGTAGTGCAATACCATTCCCTGTCTCAGAACACTGCACTGAATGAATCCTCAACTGTCACTGATGTGTCTGCGCTAGAATACTTTCCACTACTTGTAAATAGTCTTTTGTTATTTAATCGTATTATAGTGAATGTATTTAATTTTGTAATAATTATTTATGAATCAAGGTCCACTTCATTTTCTATGAAAAGGAAGAATCATCTGAACTGCTTTGAATTAAAAAAGGAATGTGTCTTTGTGTTGTAATTTTTCTCCCAAATATCAAACAAAGCCAAGAAAAAAAAAAACTGTTTACACTGTTCAGTGCTTTGGAGCATCAGAGGACTGTATTCATTTGTTCAAACTGTAAAACTGCATTTATTTACAGGAACAGCAGAGGAACAGTTAGACAATGGTGATTCATGTGTATATACTGTTTATTAATGTCAATATTATGTCTTGTTTGGAACGATGTGTAAAAATTGTTTAAGAATATTAAGATATTGTTTATGCCTTAGAATGATTGTAGCATTCTATTTTAGTGAACGTGATGAAAACATTATCATAAATATTGTTTGTACAGTATATACATATCCTCTGCAAACACTGTGGTATCCTTAATCTTGGTAGTGCCTACCCTTCCAACAGGGGCATGTAGGGGATGTTATTGTTTTTAGTTTTCATTCTTATGACAACATTATTTTTTTATATGATTTCAATCCAACAAGGCCTCCAAAGTTGGACAGTGACACAGAAATCATTCCTCACCATAGCAGAAGAAAAAAAAAGGAACAACAAGCATTCAGTTATGCTTCCATGATGCATTTCCTCGTAATCTGCCACAATACAGAGGACCTAAGGCCATTTGTAACCACTGTGTTGAACCTTGCTGTGTGTTGTGGCCTGATGGAGGCAGCTAGATTTTTTTGTACCCAAGTCAAGAGTACTTGAAGTTACTTTATTTAAGATATTGTGGAATAAAAGTATCATTCTTTTGTAGGAGCTTTATTTTTCACTAGTGTGTGGCACGGACCTATTAAAAGGATGTTTTTCAACGTAAATGAGTTAAACTTGTTTTATTTCAGCTGCATCCTTCACACGCTTTTGATAAAAGCCATTGTGGTATATCTGTGGATTAATCCCATTTTTCTTTCAAATTAGATTTCATATATCAATATGCTTTTGGGTAGCAACTTATAATTATTTGTTATTAATAATGTGACATTTGCAACAGTCGAAAACCAAAACATATTAAGTTTACTATCATAGAGGACTACTGATACCGGAAAACATTCATATTTGAGAAGGTGAAATCAGTGCATATTGGCATAATAACACAACTATTAATCATTGATGAAAATAGTTGCCAATTATTTTTCTGTCAATCAACTAAACACTCATCGTTGCAGCTCTGATTTATGACCACAATCTGGCTGATAAAATGGACACTATATGGAATTTTGTTAATAAAGAAATCAGATTGATGATACATTTTTTTTAGTTATAAGTTATCAAGGCCATACCAAAAAGCTTGACTAAAGGTACAGATAAGTTATAGTTTCACCTGTGTTCTGACTTAAGGAGCAAAGGAACATTTAACATTTGTTTTACATTAACTGAATTAAAAGGAGAGGGGATCATGAAGTCTCAACAAAACAAAACAATTACACACAGTCAAGACCAGAATAATTTGGACAGTTAAATATCTTTTGTTCAGGCTCTGTGCTTCAGCACATTCAATATGAAATAAAATGATGAATAGGCCCCACTACAATAAAGTGCCAAGTCTCAGCTTTAATTTGAGTAAGTCAATATTGAAAGAACTGTGTGGGAGATATATTCCTTGTAATACATAGTGTCCAAATTGCAATCTTGGGCAGCTGTGTTGTGCTTCAGCATTAGTTCATGCAGAGAAAAGCTCAGATGTGGCTCCGAGTTGAATAAGAGTCAGGATCAGGTTTAAAAAATCGATCAGAGAGATATCAGAGTTGTTTGGTTTGCTAAAATCAACAGTTGGGTACTTTCTGAAAAAGCAGGTGTTCACAGGAACACTAGAAAATGTCAAACAAGCTGGTAGAACGAGGAGCTTATCTTGTGGATAAGCAGAAAAGCATTTGCATGGTGAAGAAAAAAAACCCTCTATGACTGCACAAGTCAAGACTGCTGTCCAGGATGTAGGCGCACACGTTTCCTTGTCAGCGAGTAAGAACGCCTGGTAAGACCCAAAAATACAAAAGTCGGGTTACAGTTCACAAAAACACACAAAGAGAAACTTTCTAAGTTCTATGGACTGATGAAACAAAAATCTACTTCTATCAAAATGATAGAAAGAGCAAAGTGTGGAGGAAAACGGGAATAGCTCTTAACCCAACTCCACCCACTTAGATCTCAGGCATAGTGGAATTATTTTATTGATGAGAGCTGAGGGTGGCTGCAGTGAAGGCCTGGAAGAGCATCACCAGGGAAGATACAAAGTGTCAGACTTCAGGCAGTCATTGACTACAAAGGATTTTACTGTAGGCTAAATATTAATTATGATCATTGTGCTTGACTTCATGTATATCACCTTGTGTCCAATTACTTTTGAACTACTTTTGAAGTAATACTTTTTACTTTTGAACAGTCTTTCTATGTTGATGCAAACCTACTCCAATTAAAACTGAGATTCGGGGATATATGTTGTATCCATTATTTTATTTCAGAATAATTGTGCTGATTTTTTTTTTTCTTAAAAATTGACAATGTCGAACTTCCGGTATAAAAAGGAAACAAAAAAAACGATAACATGATAAAATAACAGGGAGTGTGTGTGTGTGTGTGTGTGGGTGGGTCGTAACAGAATTAACAAAATGATGTAACATAATTAAAAAAAAAAAAAAAACATAATATAAGCAAATAAATAAATTAAAATAAATAATACGTGACGTAACCCATATTACGTCACGGTCAGCTGTTCGACGAGGAAGTAAACAAACCTCAAGTGAATGGACGACACGGCGGAGAAAGGTATAAAACACTGCTAAAACACTGCTGTAGAGGGATAAAGGTAACGTTACAAGTAGATTTCACTTTGTTTACCGCGGGAGTTTTCTTGCTGTACTGTTTCGCCGCAGTTTGTTTCCGCGCTGGTGAATAATATTCGACACAACAGCATGAAGCAGAAAGCTGCCTCTCGGCTCTGATGCACTTAGCTACAGGATCTCCAGCCACAGGATCCCTGTGGCGTTATAGCTGTTTGTCTGCTGCTTTTCTAAGTCTGTTAGTGAGGAGATGTGACAGCCCAGCAAATGTTTTTTTTCTTTCCAGATTTAAAAAAAAAAATCCATAGGATAGAAAAACAAGTAAAACTACATGGATTTTCCTCCTTTCTTTGTTCTGCTTTTGAACTTGAATGAGTTATTTATTAATTTTGAACGGCTGCTCAGATTCTTAGACACATAGGCCTACTCTAAACTGCTTTTGTCTTCAGGGCTGCAACTGATTATTTTCATTATCTTTTAATCTGCAGGTTATTTTCTTGATTAATCAACTATTAATTTTTTGCCTATTGTGAAAAATGCCCGTTGCACTAATCCCACAGCCCAGTGTAACTTCAGTTATCTGGTTTTGTCCAAAGCTTAAAGCAAATGTTTTGGCATTTTGCTTAATAAATCACAAAACGATGAATCAATTATCAAAACAGTTGCAAATTGATTTTGTGTTGATCGACTAATCATTGCAGCTATAACTGTAGAGACCTCAATATTGAGGTCTGAAGATTTGACAAATGAAAGCAAAAAGATTTAAATTTATCAACATTTAACATGGTAAAATCCCTGAAGATGTAAAACAGACAGACCTAACTTAGTTTCTAATGTTTTAGTATTAGGCCTGTGCATTCCATGTAGTCACCATTTAGTCATTTAAAATGTCAGACAATAGTGAAAAGTGGTCATCACTGTTTTCAAAATCCCAAATTATTTTCAACCAACTGTCTAAAATCCCAAAATATTCAATTTATGATGCAAGTGTTTGTAAAATAACTTAAAAATTCTATTGTATTGGAAAGTTTGTTACTGCTTTAATTTTATTTCAGTGAACTAATCGATTAATCGACTAGTTGCTTCAGCTCTTCAGTTGTGTAAGGTTAATTGTGGCCTGATCCAACAAATGTTGGTCATTTTGAACAAAACTGACGGTCAGGCCTGACTATTAGTCAGTTTATCCTGTGTGATGTTTCATAGTGGAAAACAATTAATTCTGCATCTAGGATGCTTCACAAGGCCCAGGCAGAAAGACTAAGTAAGATTTGCATCTTTACTTGCAATTTGTCTTTCAGGACTTGGGATTTGATTTAAGATGTATTAACAGCTCTGGCTGAGACCAGAGTGTGAATTAATCAAGGATAAATGCAATACAATACAAGAGTTATTGAAGAGTGAATTGGCCATAAGAGAATATTGCTATATTCTGTCTCAGTGAACCTGCTGCTGGGTTCAGTTTTGGGATTCAAGGGAATGACTTTTCCTGTGTATAATGATGTTAATTTTCTCATTCCCTTTATTTGAACTATAGGACCGGCTCTCCAAATGACGTCACTGCTTTGCACTTTACATGACCATCGAGATGATGTCAACTGGTGTGCCTTCTCTGCCAAACTGCTGGCCACCTGTTCTGGGGACAAAACCCTCAGGATATACAACACCAGTGACTTCTCAGAGCTGTCGTTCTCACCGCTGTCAGGACATGGCTACAGCGTCCACTGCTGCTGCTTCAGCCCCTGTGGGCAGTTTCTCGCTTCGTGTTCGACTGATGCAACCACGGTGGTCTGGTCCATGGTCACAGGTGAGATCGAGGCCGTCATGGAACATCCTGGTCGCAGCCCTGTGAGGATCTGTGCACTCTCTCCTGACTCTATTCACATGGTTTCTGGTGCATCTGATGGCACTTTGGCTCTGTGGGATTTCCCCTCCAAACAGCTGCGCAGGTAAAGTTGAAAAATTACGTTTCTATAGAGCTGGCATGATTAATTGGTTAGTTGCTCAACTGAAAATTTTGATTGTCAATTAATTGTTTCAAATGCCAAACATTCACTATTTGCAGTTTCTCAAATCCGAGTAATTGTTGACTGAATGTGATGGGTATTTTCACTATTTTATAGACATTTTATAGAGAGAAAATCTGCAGGCCTACTATTTACACAGACATACAGTACAGTCGACAAAACGAGCTTGAAGCTAAATGCAAACATCTCTCCTCGCACCACTGTTTTGCAT